GCACTGTTCAACTATTTCACCTTTTCTAGCAGCAGGAGCAGATTACGCATCTGTTCATCTATTTCAGTGTTCACCTCTGCATCGTAATAGTGTTCCCTCCCTCACACTGCAAGGCACTGTTCATCTATTTCACCTTTTCTAGCAGCAGTGGAGATTACGCATCGTAATAGTGTTCACCTCTGCCTCCCTCCCTCACACTGCAAGGCACTGTTCAACTATTTCACCTTTTTCTAGCAGCAGTGGTATTCAGATTCACACTGCGCATCTCCCACCTTTTAATAGTGTTCACCTCTGCCTCCCTCCCTCACACTGCAAGGCACTGTTCATCTATTTCACCTTTTCTAGCAGCAGTGGCGATTACGCATCGTAATAGTGTTCACCTCTGCCTCCCTCCCTCACACTGCAAGGCACTGTTCATCTATTTCACCTTTTTTTAGCAGCAGTGGCGATTACGCATAATAGTGTTCACCTCTGCCTTCCCTCACACTGCAAGGCACTGTTCATCTATTTCACCTTTTCTAGCAGCAGTGGATTACGCATCGTAATGTTCAGTGTTCACCTCTGCCTCCCTCCCTCACACTGCAAGGCACTGTTCATCTATTTCACCTTTTCTAGCAGCAGTGGCGATTACGCATCGTAATAGTGTTCACTGCCTCCCTCCCTCACACTGCAAGGCACTGTTCAACTATTTCACCTTTTTTAGCAGCAGTGGCGATTACGCATCGTAATAGTGTTTCTCTGCCTCCCTCCCTCACACTGCAAGGCACTGTTCATCTATTTCACCTTTTCTAGCAGCAGTGGCGATTACGCATCGTAATAGTGTTCACCTCTGCCTCCCTCCCTCACACTGCAAGGCACTGTTCATCTATTTCACCTTTTTTAGCAGCAGTGGCGATTACGCATCGTAATAGTGTTCACCTCTGCTTCCCTCCCTCACACTGCAACACTGTTCATCTATTTCACCTTTTCTAGCAGCAGTGATTACGCATCGTAATAGTGTTCACCTCTTTCCCCCCCACACTGCAAGCACTGTTCATCTATTTCACCTTTTCTAGCGCAGTGGATTACGCATAATAGTGTTCACCTCTGCCTCCCTCCCTCACACTGCAAGGCACTGTTCATCTATTTCACTTTTCTAGCAGCAAGCATCACTGTTCATCACACTGCAAGACACTGTTCACCTATTTTTCTAGCAGCCAGCAGTGGCCTCCCATCCTCACACTGCAAGGCACTGTTCAACTATTTACCTTTTCGCATCGTGGCGATTACGCAGTGTTCACCTCTGCCTCCCTCCCTCACACTGCAAGGCACTGTTCATCTATTTCACCTTTTCTAGCAGCAGTGGAGATTACGCATCGTAATAGTGTTCACCTCTGCCTCCCCTCCCCTCACACTGCAAGGCACTGTTCAACTATTTCACCTTTTCTAGCAGCAGTGGAGATTACGCATCGTAATAGTGTTCACCTCTGCCTCCCTCCCTCACACTGCAAGACACTGTTCAACTATTTCACCTTTTCTAGCAGCAGTGGAGATTACGCATCGTAATAGTGTTCACCTCTGCCTCCCTCCCTCACACTGCAAGACACTGTTCAACTATTTCACCTTTTTAGCAGCAGTGGCGATTACGCATCGTAATAGTGTTCACCTCTGCCTCCCTCCCTCACACTGCAAGGCACTGTTCAACTATTTCACCTTTGGCGATTAGCATCAGTGTTCACCTCTGCCTCCCTCCCTCACACTGCAAGGCACTATTTCACCTTTTCTAGCAGATGGCGATTACGCATCGTAATAGTGTTCACCTCTGCCTCCCTCCCTCACACTGCAAGGGCACTGTTCAACTATTTCACCTTTTTCTAGCAGCAGTGGAGATTACGCATCGTAATAGTGTTCACCTCTGCCTCCTCCCTCACACTGCAAGGCACTGTTCATCTATTTCACCTTTTCTAGCAGCAGTGGAGATTACGCATCGTAATAGTGTTCACCTCTGCCTCCCTCCCTCACACTGCAAGGCACTGTTCAACTATTTCACCTTTTCTAGCAGCAGTGGAGATTACGCATCGTAATAGTGTTGTTCTGCCTCCCTCCCCCTCACACTGCAAGGCACTGTTCATCTATTTCACCTTTTCTAGCAGCAGTGGAGATTACGCATCGTAATAGTGTTCACCTCTGCCTCCCTCCCTCACACTGCAAGGCACTGTTCAACTATTTCACCTTTTCTAGCAGCAGTGGAGATTACGCATCGTAATAGTGTTCACCTCTGCCTCCTCCCCTCACACTGCAAGGCACTGTTCATCTATTTCACCTTTTCTAGCAGCAGTGGCGATTACGCATCGTAATAGTGTTCACCTCTGCCTCCCTCCCTCACACTGCAAGACACTGTTCAACTATTTCACCTTTTCTAGCAGCAGTGGAGATTACGCATCGTAATAGTGTTCACCTCTGCCTCCCCTCCCTCACACTGCAAGGCACTGTTCAACTATTTCACCTTTTCTAGCAGCAGTGGCGATTACGCATCGTAATAGTGTTCACCTCTGCCTCCCTCCCTCACACTGCAAGCACTGTTCATCTATTTCACCTTTTCTAGCAGCAGTGTTCGTAATAGTGTTCACCTCTGCCTCTCCCCCCCACACTGCAAGACACTGTTCAATCTATTTCACCTTTTCTAGCAGCAGTGGCGATTACGCATCGTAATAGTGTTCACCTCTGCCTCCCTCCCTCACACTGCAAGGCACTGTTCATCTATTTCACCTTTTTTCTAGCAGCAGTGGAGATTACGCATCGTAATAGTGTTCACCTCTGCCTCCTCCCCTCCCTCACACTGCAAGGCACTGTTCAACTATTTCACCTTTTCTAGCAGCAGTGGAGATTACGCATCGTAATAGTGTTCACCTCTGCCTCCCTCCCTCACACTGCAAGGCACTGTTCAACTATTTCACCTTTTCTAGCAGCAGTGGCGATTACGCATCGTAATAGTGTTCACCTCTGCCTCCCTCCCTCACACTGCAAGGCACTGTTCAACTATTTCACCTTTTCTAGCAGCAGTGGAGATTGCGCATCGTAATAGTGTTCACCTCTGCCTCCCTCCCTCACACTGCAAGGCACTGTTCAATCTATTTCACCTTTTCTAGCAGCAGTGGCGATTACGCATCGTACAGTGTTCACCTCTGCCTCCCCTCCCTCACACTGCAAGGCACTGTTCAACTATTTCACCTTTTTTTTCAGTGGCGATTACGCATCGTAATAGTGTTCACCTCTGCCCTCCCTCACACTGCAAGGCACTGTTCATCTATTTCACCTTTTCTAGCAGCAGTGGAGATTACGCATCGTAATAGTGTTCACCTCTGCCTCCCCCTCCTCACACTGCAAGGCACTGTTCAACTATTTCACCTTTTCTAGCAGCAGTGGCGATTACGCATCGTAACAGTGTTCACCTCTGCCTCCCTCCTCCCTGCAACACTGCAAGCAGCACTGTTCATCTATTTCACCTTTGCTAGCAGCAGTGCAGATTACGCATCGTAATAGTGTTCACCTCTGCCTCCCTCCCTCACACTGCAAGACACTGTTCAACTATTTCACCTTTTCTAGCAGCAGTGGCGATTACGCATCGTAATAGTGTTCACCTCTGCCTCCCTCCCCTCACACTGCAAGGCACTGTTCATCTATTTCACCTTTTCTAGCAGCAGTGGCGATTACGCATCGTAATAGTGTTCACCTCTGCCTCCCCTCCCTCACACTGCAAGGCACTGTTCAACTATTTCACCTTTTCTAGCAGCAGTGGCGATTACGCATCGTAATAGTGTTCACCTCTGCCTCCCTCCCTCACACACTGCAAGGCACTGTTCATCTATTTCACCTTTTCTAGCAGCAGTGGAGATTACGCATCGTAATAGTGTTCACCTCTGCCTCCCTCCCTCACACTGCAAGGCACTGTTCAACTATTTCACCTTTTCTAGCAGCAGTGGAGATTACGCATCGTAATAGTGTTCACCTCTGCCTCCCTCCCTCACACTGCAAGACACTGTTCATCTATTTCACCTTTTCTAGCAGCAGTGGAGATTACGCATCGTAATAGTGTTCACCTCTGCCTCCCTCCCTCACACTGCAAGGCACTGTTCATCTATTTCACCTTTTTTCTAGCAGCAGTGGAGATTACGCATCGTAATAGTGTTCACCTCTGCCTCCCTCCTCACACTGCCACTGTTCAACTATTTCACCTTTTCTAGCAGCAGTGGAGATTACGCACGTAATAGTGTTCACCTCTGCCTCCCTCCCTCACACTGCAAGGCACTTTCACCTTTTCTAGCAGCAGTGGCGATTACGCATCGTAATAGTATTCACCTCTGCCTCCTCCCTCACACTGCAAGGCACTGTTCAACTATTCACCTTTTTCTAGCAGCAGTGAGATTACGCATCTTTTCCTCACACTGCAAAGCACAATTACGCATCGTAACAGTGTTCACCTCTGCCTCCTCCCTCACACTGCAAGGCACTGTTATCTATTCACCTTTTTCTAGCAGCAGTGGAGATTACGCATCGTAATAGTGTTCACCTCTGCCTCCCTCCCTCACACTGCAAGGCACTGTTCATCTATTTCACCTTTTCTAGCAGCAGTGGCGATTACGCATCGTAATAGTATTCACCTCTGCCTCCCTCCCTCACACTGCAAGGCACTGTTCATCTATTTCACCTTTTCTAGCAGCAGTGGCGATTACGCATCGTAATAGTATTCACCTCTGCCCCCCTCCCTCACACTGCAAGTCACTGTTCATCTATTTCACCTTTTCTAGCAGCAGTGGCGATTACGCATCGTAATAGTGTTCACCTCTGCCTCCCTCCCTCACACTGCAAGGCACTGTTCATCTATTTCACCTTTTCTAGCAGCAGTGGCGATTACGCATCGTAATAGTGTTCACCTCTGCCTCCCTCACCCCCTCACACTGCAAGGCACTGTTCATCTATTTCACCTTTCTAGCAGCAGTGGCGATTACGCATCATGAGACATGCATCGTAATCACCTCTGCCTCCCCTCCTCACACTGCAAGGCACTGTTCATCTATTTCACCTTTTTAGCAGCAGTGGCGATTACGCATCGTAATAGTGTTCACCTCTGCATCTCCCTCCCTCACACTGCAAGGCACTGTTCATCTATTTCACCTTTTCTAGCAGCAGTGGCGATTACGCATCGTAATAGTGTTCACCTCTGCCTCCCTCCCTCACACTGCAAGGCACTGTTCATCTATTTCACCTTTTCTAGCAGCAGTGGAGATTACGCATCGTAATAGTGTTCACCTCTGCCTCCCTCCCTCACACTGCAAGGCACTGTTCAACTATTTCACCTTTTCTAGCAGCAGTGGCGATTACGCATCGTAATAGTGTTCACCTCTGCCTCCCTCCCTCACACTGTTCAACTATTTCAAGGCATCACTGTTCAACTGCAAGGCATTTCATTTCACCTTTTCTAGCAGCAGTGGAGATTACGCATCGTAATAGTGTTCACCTCTGCCTCCCTCCCTCACACTGCAAGGCACTGTTCAACTTTTCACCTTTTTTAGCAGCAGTGGCGATTACGCATCGTAATAGTGTTTCACCTGCCTCCCTCCCTCACACTGCAAGGCACTGTTCATCTATTTCACCTTTTCTAGCAGCAGTGGAGATTACGCATCGTAATAGTGTTCACCTCTGCCTCCCTCCCTCACACTGCAAGGCACTGTTCATCTATTTCACCTTTTCTAGCAGCAGTGGCGATTACGCATCATAATAGTGTTCACCTCTGCCTCCTCCCTCACACTGCAAGGCACTGTTCATCTATTTCACCTTTTTCTAGCAGCAGTGGAGATTACGCATCGTAATAGTGTTCACCTCTGCCTCCCTCCCTCACACTGCAAGGCACTGTTCAACTATTTCACCTTTTCTAGCAGCAGTGGAGATTACGCATCGTAGCATAGTGTTCACCTCTGCCTCCCTCCTCACACTGCAAGGCACTGTTCATCTATTTCACCTTTTTTCTAGCAGCAGTGGCGATTACGCATCGTAATAGTGTTCACCTCTGCCTCCCTCCCCCACACTGCAAGGCACTGTTCAACTATTTCACCTTTTCTAGCAGCAGTGGAGATTACGCATCGTAATAGTGTTCACCTCTGCCTCCCTCCCTCACACTGCAAGGCACTGTTCAACTATTTCACCTTTTCTAGCAGCAGTGGCGATTACGCATCGTAATAGTGTTCACCTCTGCCTCCCTCCCTCACACTGCAAGGCACTGTTCATCTATTTCACCTTTTTTAGCAGCAGTGGCGATTACGCATCGTAATAGTGTTCACCTCTGCCTCCCTCCCCTCACTGCAAGGCACTGTTCATCTATTTCACCTTTTCTAGGCAGCAGTGGCGTGGCGATTACGCATCGTAATAGTGTTCACCTCTGCCTCCCCTCCCTCAAGGCACTGTTCAACTATTTCACCTTTTCTAGCCTGTTCATCTAGTTTCACACCTTTCCTACACTGCAAAGGTGGCGATTCACCGCATCAGTAATACGCATCATGTAGTGTTCACCTCTGCCTCCCTCCCTCACACTGCAAGGCACTGTTCATCTATTTCACCTTTTTTAGCAGCAGTGGCGATTACGCATCGTAATAGTGTTCACCCTGCCTCCCTCCCTCACACTGCAAGGCACTGTTCATCTATTTCACCTTTTCTAGCAGCAGTGGCGATTACGCATCGTAATAGTATTCACCTCTGCCTCCCTCCCTCCCTCACACTGCAAGGCACTGTTCATCTATTTCACCTTTTTTAGCAGCAGTGGAGATTACGCATCGTAATAGTATTCACCTCTGCCTCCCTCCCTCACACTGCAAGGCACTGTTCAACTATTTCACCTTTTCTAGCAGCAGTGGAGATTACGCATCGTAATAGTGTTCACCTCTGCCTCCCTCCCTCACACTGCAAGGCACTGTTCATCTATTTCACCTTTTTTAGCAGCAGTGGAGATTACGCATCGTAATAGTGTTCACCTCTGCCTCCCTCCCTCACACTGCAAGGCACTGTTCAACTATTTCACCTTTAGCAGCAGTGGCGATTACGCAGTGGAGATTTCACCTCTGTATTCACACTCTGCCTGTTCCTCACCCGCAGCACACTGCAAAGTATTCACTGTTCACACTATTTCACCTTTTTTAGCAGCAGTGGAGATTACGCATCGTAACAGTGTTCACCTCTGCCTCCCCTCCCCTCACACTGCAAGGCACTGTTCAACTATTTCACCTTTTTTAGCAGCAGTGGCGATTACGCATCGTAATAGTGTTCACCTCTGCCTCCTCCCTCACACTGCAAGGCTAAGGCACTGTTACGCATCTATTTTCACCTTTTCTGCAAGCAGCACCTTTTTAGCAGCAGATTACGCATCGTAATAGTGTTCACCTCTGCCTCCCCTCCCTCACACTGCAAGGCACTGTTCATCTATTTCACCTTTTCTAGCAGCAGTGGCGATTACGCATCGTCGTAATAGTGTTCACCTCTGCCTCCCTCCCTCACACTGCAAGGCACTGTTCATCTATTTCACCTTTTCTAGCAGCAGTGGAGATTACGCATCGTAATAGTGTTCACCTCTGCTTCCCTCCCTCACACTGCAAGGCACTGTTCATCTATTTCACCTTTTCTAGCAGCAGTGGAGATTACGCATCGTAATAGTGTTCACCTCTGCCTCCCTCCCTCACACTGCAAGGCACTGTTCATCTATTTCACCTTTTCTAGCAGCAGTGGAGATTGCATCGTAATAGTGTTCACCTCTGCCTCCCTCCCTCACACTCAGGCACTGTTCAACTATTTCACCTTTTTCTAGCAGCAGTGGCGATTGCATCGTATAGTTTCACCTCTGCCTCCCTCCCTCACACTGCAAGGCACTGTTCAACTATTTCACCTTTTCAGCAGCAGTGGCGATTACGCATCGTAATAGTGTTCACCTCTGCCTCCCTCCCTCACACTGCAAGGCACTGTTCATCTATTTCACCTTTTCTAGCAGCAGTGGAGATTACGCATCGTAATAGTGTTCACCTCTTTTCTGCCTCAAATCATAATCAGTGTTCCCCCTGCCTCCACACTGCAAGGCACTGTTCAATCTATTTCACCTTTTCTAGCAGCAGTGAGATTACGCATCGTAATAGTGTTCACCTCTGCCTCCCTCCCTCACACTGCAAGGCACTGTTCATCTATTTCACCTTTTCTAGCAGCAGTGGCGATTACGCATCGTAATAGTATTCACCTCTGCCTCCTCCCTCACACTGCAAGGCACTGTTCAATCTATTTCACCTTTTCTAGCAGCAGTGGAGATTACGCATCAGTTCACCTCTGCCTCCCTCCCTCACACTGCAAGGCACTGTTCAATCTATTTCACCTTTTCTAGCAGCAGTGGCGATTACGCATCGTAATAGTGTTCACCTGCCTCCCTCCCTCACACTGCAAGGCACTGTTCAACTATTTCACCTTTTCTAGCAGCAGTGATTGCGCATCATAATAGTGTTCACCTCTGCCTCCCTCCCTCACACTGCAAGGCACTGTTCATCTATTTCACCTTTTCTAGCAGCAGTGCGATTACGCATCGTAGTAGTGTTCACCTCTGCCTCCCTCCCTCACACTGCAAGGCACTGTTCATCTATTTCACCTTTTTCTAGCAGCAGTGGAGATTACGCATCGTAATAGTGTTCACCTCTGCCTCCCTCCCTCACACTGCAAGGCACTGTTCATCCTATTTCACCTTTCTAGCAGCAGTGATTACGCATCGTACAGTGTTTCACCCTGCCTCAAAGGCACTCCTATTTCACCTTTTTTTAGCTGCAAGGCACTGTTCATCTATTTCACCTTTTCTAGCAGCAGTGGAGATTACGCATCGTAATAGTGTTCACCTCTGCCTCCCTCCCTCACACTGCAAGGCACTGTTCAACTATTTCACCTTTTCTAGCAGCAGTGGAGATTACGCATCGTAATAGTGTTCACCTCTGCCTCCCTCCCTCACACTGCAAGGCACTGTTCAACTATTTCACCTTTTCTAGCAGCAGTGGCGATTACGCATCGTAATAGTGTTCACCTCTGCCTCCCTCCCTCACACTGCAAGGCACTGTTCATCTATTTCACCTTTTCTAGCAGCAGTGGAGATTACGCATCGTAATAGTGTTCACCTCTGCCTCCCTCCCTCACACTGCAAGGCACTGTTCATCTATTTCACCTTTTCTAGCAGCAGTGGAGATTACGCATCGTAACAGTGTTCACCTCTGCTCTCCCTCCCTCACACTGCAAGGCACTGTTCATCTATTTCACCTTTTCTAGCAGCAGTGGAGATTACGCATCGTAATAGTGTTCACCTCTGCCTCCCTCCCTCACACTGCAAGGCACTGTTCATCTATTTCACCTTTTCTAGCAGCAGTGGAGATTACGCATCGTAATAGTGTTCACCTCTGCCTCCCCCCCTCACACTGCAAGGCACTGTTCATCTATTTCACCTTTCTAGCAGCAGTGGGATTATATTGCATCGCAATAGTGTTCACCTCCCCTCCCTCACACTGCAAGGCACTGTTCAACTATTTCACCTTTTCTAGCAGCAGTGGAGATTACGCATCGTAATAGTGTTCACCTCTGCCTCCCCTCTCTCACACTGCAAGGCACTGTTCATCTATTTCACCTTTTCTAGCAGCAGTGGCGATTACGCATCGTAATAGTGTTCACCTCTGCCTTCACCTCTGCACTGTTCCTATTTCACCTCACACTGCAAGGCTGCCTCCCTCCCTGTGCAAGACACTGTGCATCTATTTCACCTTTTCTAGCAGCAGTGGAGATTACGCATCGTAATAGTGTTCACCTCTGCCTCCCTCCCTCACACTGCAAGGCACTGTTCAATCTATTTCACCTTTTCTAGCAGCAGTGGAGATTACGCATCGTAATAGTGTTCACCTCTGCCTCCCTCCCTCACACTGCAAGGCACTGTTCATCTATTTCACCTTTTCTAGCAGCAGTGGGAGATTACGCATCGTAATAGTTTTCCTCCTGCCTCCCTCCCTCACACTGCAAGGCACTGTTCATCTATTTCCACCTTTTCTAGCAGCAGTGGAGATTACGCATCATGTAATAGTGTTCACCTCTGCCTCCCCCCTCACACTGCAAGGCACTGTTCATCTATTTCACCTTTTCTAGCAGCAGTGAGATTACGCATCGTAAATAGTGTTCACCTCTGCCTCCCTCCCTCACACTGCAAGGCACTGTTCATCTATTTCACCTTTTCTAGCAGCAGTGGGATTACGCATCGTAATAGTGTTCACCTCTGCCTCCCCCCTCACACTGCAAGCACTGTTCACACTGCAAGGCATCTGTTCACCTCTGCCTCCCTCCCTCACACTGCAGGGGCACTGTTCATCTATTTCACCTTTTCTAGCAGCAGTGGAGATTACGCATCGTAATAGTGTTCACCTCTGCCTCCCCCCTCACACTGCAAGGCACTGTTCATCTATTTCACCTTTTTTTAGCAGCAGTGGCGATTACGCATCGTAATAGTGTTCACCTCTGCCTCCCTAAGGCACCTCTACACTAGCAGCAGTGGAGCGCTGTTCATCCCTCACATTTCACTGTTCATCTTTTCTTTCAGCAGTGGAGATTACGCATCGTAATAGTGTTCACCTCTGCCTCCCTCCCTCACACTGCAAGACACTGTTCATCTATTTCACCTTTTCTAGCAGCAGTGGAGATTACGCATCGTAATAGTGTTCACCTCTGCCTCCTCCCTCACACTGCAAGGCACTGTTCAACTATTTCACCTTTTCTAGCAGCAGTGGAGATTACGCATCGTAATAGTGTTCACCTCTGCCTCCCTCCCCTCACACTGCAAGGCACTGTTCAACTATTTCACCTTTTCTAGCCAGTGGCGATTACGCATCGTAATAGTGTTCACCTCTGTCCCTCACACTGCAAGACACTGTTCAACTTTTCACCTTTTCTAGCAGTGGAGATTACGCATCGTAATAGTGTTCACCTCTGCCTCCCTCCCTCCTCACACTGCAAGGCACTGTTCATCTATTTCACCTTTTCTAGCAGCAGTGGAGATTACGCATCGTTATAGTGTTCACCTCTGCCTCCCTCTCCCTCACACTGCAAGGCACTGTTCATCTATTTCACCTTTTCTAGCAGCAGTGGCGATTACGCATCGTAATAGTGTTCACCTCTGCCTCCCCTCCCTCACACTGCAAGGCACTGTTCATCTATTTCACCTTTTCTAGCAGCAGTGGCGATTACGCATCGTAATAGTGTTCACCTCTGCCTCCCCTCCCTCACACTGCAAGGCACTGTTCATCTATTTCACCTTTTCTAGCAGCAGTGGAGATTACGCATCGTAATAGTGTTCACCTCTGCCTCCCTCCCTCACACTGCAAGGCACTGTTCATCTATTTCACCTTTTCTAGCAGCAGTGGAGATTACGCATCGTAATAGTGTTCACCTCTGCCTCCCTCCCTCACACTGCAAGGCACTGTTCATCCACCTTTCTAGCAGCAGGAGATTGGCGATTACGCACCTCTTCACCTCTGCCTCCCTCCCTCACACTGCAAGGCACTGTTCATCTATTTCACCTTTTTTAGCAGCAGTGGCGATTACGCATCGTAATAGTGTTCACCTCTGCCTCCCTCACCTGCAAGGCCTGTTCATCACACTTTCTAGCAGCAAGGCACTGTTCATCTATTTCATCTTTTCTAGCAGCAGTGGCGATTACGCATCGTAATAGCACCTCTGCCTCCCCTCCCTCACACTGCAAGACACTGTTCATCTATTTCACCTTTTTCTGCGTAATAGTGTTCACCCTCCCTCCCTCCCTCACACTGCAAGGCACTGTTCAACTATTTCACCTTTTCTAGCAGCAGTGGAGATTACGCATCGTAATAGTGTTCACCCTCTGCCTCCCTCCCTCACACTGCAAGGCACTGTTCATCTATTTCACCTTTTCTAGCAGCAGTGGAGATTACGCATCGTAATAGTGTTCACCTCTGCCTCCCTCCCTCACACTGCAAGGCACTGTTCAACTATTTCACCTTTTCTAGCAGCAGTGGAGATTACGCATCGTAATAGTGTTCACCTCTGCCTCCCTCCCTCACACTGCAAGGCACTGTTCATCTATTTCACCTTTTCTAGCAGCTTTTCTACCTCTGCCTCTCCTCCCTCACACTGCAAGGCACTGTTCATCTATTTCACCTTTTCTAGCAGCAGTGGCGTTTGATTACGCATCGTAACAGTGTTCACCTCTGCCTCCCTCCCTCACACTGCAAGGCACTGTTCATCTATTTCACCTTTTCTAGCAGCAAGGTGGAGATTACGCATCGTAATAGTGTTCACCTCTGCCTCCTCCCCTCACACTGCAAGGCACTGTTCATCTATTTCACCTTTTCTAGCAGCAGTGGAGATTACGCATCGTAATAGTGTTCACCTCTGCCTCCCTCCCTCACACTGCAAGGCACTGTTCATCTATTTCACCTTTTCTAGCAGCAGTGGAGATTACGCATCGTAATAGTGTTCCTCTGCCTCCCTCCCTCACACTGCAAGGCACTGTTCATCTATTTCACCTTTTCTAGCAGCAGTGGAGATTACGCATCGTAATAGTGTTCACCTCTGCCTCCCTCCCTCACACTGCAAGGCACTGTTCATCTATTTCACCTTTTCTAGCAGCAGTGGAGATTACGCATCGTAATAGTGTTCACCTCTGCCTCCCTCCCCTACACTGCAAGGCACTGTTCATCTATTTCACCTTTTCTAGCAGCAGTGGAGATTACGCATCGTAATAGTGTTCACCTCACCTCCCTTTCTGCAAGGCACTGTTCATCTATTTCACCTTTTCTAGCAGCAGTGGCGATTACGCATCGTAATAGTGTTCACCTCTGCCTCCCTCCCTCACACTGCAAGGCACTGTTCATCTATTTCACCTTTTTAGCAAGTGGCGATTACGCATCTGTTCACCTCTCCTTTCAAGGCACTGTTCATCTATTTCACCTTTTCTAGCAGCAGTGGAGATTACGCATCGTAATAGTGTTCACCTCTGCCTCCCTCCCTCACACTGCAAGGCACTGTTCATCTATTTCACCTTTTCTAGCAGCAGTGGAGATTACGCATCGTAATAGTGTTCACCTCTGCCTCCCTCCCTCACACTGCAAGGCACTGTTCATCTATTTCACCTTTTCTAGCAGCAGTGGAGATTACGCATCGTAATAGTGTTCACCTCTGCCTCCCTCCCTCACACTGCAAGGCACTGTTCATCTATTTCACCTTTTCTAGCAGCAGTGGAGATTACGCATCGTAATAGTGTTCACCTCTGCCTCCCTCCCTCACACTGCAAGGCACTGTTCATCTATTTTCACCTTTTTGCAGCAGTGGCGATTACGCATCATAGTGTTCACCTCTGCCTCCCTCCCTCACACTGCAAAGGCACTGTTCATCTATTTCACCTTTTCTAGCAGCAGTGGCGATTACGCATCGTAATGGTGTTCACCTCTGCCTCCTCCCCTCACACTGCAAGGCACTGTTCATCTATTTCACCTTTTCTAGCAGCAGTGGCGATTACGCATCGTAATAGTGTTCACCTCTGCCTCCTCCCCTCACTGCAAGGCACTGTTCATCTATTTCACCTTTTCTAGCAGCAGTGTCGATTACGCATCATAATAGTGTTTCCTCTGCCTCCCTCCCTCACACTGCAAAGGCACTGTTCATCAATTTCACCTTTTCTAGCAGCAGTGGCGATTACGCATCGTAATAGTGTTCACCTCTGGCGTATTCACCTCAGCTTCCCTCCCTCACACTGCAAGGCACTGTTCATCTATTTCACCCTCTTTCTCACACTGCAAGCACTGTGGAGATTACGCATCGTAATAGTGTTCACCTCTGCCTCCCCTCCCTCACACTGCTTTCACTGTTCATCTATTTCACCTTTTCTAGCAGCAGTGGAGATTACGCATCGTAATAGTGTTCACCTCTGCCTCCCCTCCCCTCACACTGCAGGCACTGTTCATCTATTTCACCTTTTCTAGCAGCAGTGGCGATTACGCATCGTAATAGTGTTCACCTCTGCCTCCCTCCCTCATTAACTGCAAGACACTGTTCATCTATTTCACCTTTTCTAGCAGCAGTGTGGAGATTACGCATCGTAATAGTGTTCACCTCTCCCTCCTCGCTCACACTGCAAGGCACTGTTCATCTATTTCACCTTTTCAGGCGATTAGCACGCCAGTGTGGCAAGGCACTGTTCATCGCATCGATTACGCACAGTGTTCACCTCTGCCTCCCTCCCTCACACTGCAAGGCACTGTTCATCTATTTCACCTTTTCTAGCAGCAGTGAGATTACGCATCGTAATAGTGTTCACCTCTGCCTCCTCCCTACACTGCAAGGCCTGTTCATCTATTTCACCTTTTCTAGCAGCAGTGGCGATTACGCATCGTAACAGTGTTCCTCTGCACCTCACTGCAAGGCACTGTTCATCTTCACCTTTTCCCTTTTAGCCAGTATGATTACGCATCATGTCAGTGTGTTCACCTCTGCCTCCTCCCTCACACCGCAAGACACTGTTCATCTATTTCACCTTTTCTAGCAGCAGTGGTACGCATCATAGTGTTCACCTCTCCTCCCTCCCTCACACTGCAAGACACTGTTCATCTATTTCACCTTTTCTAGCAGCAGTGGCGATTACGCATCGTAATAGTGTTCACCTCTGCCTCCCTCCCTCACACTGCAAGGCACTGTTCATCTATTTCACCTTTTCTAGCAGCAGTGGAGTGATGCATCATGTGTGTTCACCTCTGCCTCCCTCCCCCTCACACTGCAAGGCACTGTTCATCTATTTCACCTTTTCTAGCAGCAGTGGAGATTACGCATCGTAATAGTATTTCACCTCCTCCCTCCCTCACACTGCAAGGCACTGTTCATCTATTTCACCTTTTCTAGCAGCAGTGGCGATTACGCATCGTGTGTGTTCACCTCTGCCTCCTCCCTCACTGCAGGCACTGTTCATCTATTTCACCTTTTCTAGCAGCAGTGGAGATTACGCATCATGTAGTGTTCACCTGCCTTCCCTCCCTCACCTCAAAGACACTGTCTATCTATTTCACCTTTTCTGGCAGCAGTGGAGATCAGCATCGTTCAGTGTTCACCTTTTCCCTACACTGCAAGACACTGGGTGCAGCAGTGCATCGCATCAGTGGCGATTGCATCGTGTTCACCTCTGCCTCCTCCCTCACTGCAAGGCACTGTTCATCTATTTCACCTTTTCTAGCAGCAGTGGAGATTACGCATCGTAATAGTGTTCACCTCTGCCTCCCTCCCTCACCTTTCTGCAAGGCACTGTTCATCCTGTTTCACCTTTTCTTTCAGCAGCAGTGGAGTCGCGCATCGTAATAGTGTTCACCTCTGCCTCCTCCCTCACACTGCAAGACACTGTTCATCTATTTCTAGCCTTTTCTAGCTCCCTCCCCACACTGTGGAATTACGCATCGTATTACGCCAGTGTTCACCTCCCTGCCTCCTCCCTCCACTGCAAGGCACTGTTCATCTATTTCACCTTTTCTAGCAGCAGTGGAGATTACGCATCATTAGTGTTCACCTCTGCCTCCTCCCTCACACTGCAAGACACTGTTCATCTATTTCACCTTTTCTAGCAGCAGTGGAGATTACGCATCGTAATAGTGTTCACCTCTGCCTCCCTCCCCTGCAGGCACTGTTCATCAAGAGCACTGTTCATCTAGTGTTCACCTCTTCCCTCCTCACACACTGCAGCACTGTGCAGGTATTTAAGCATCGCAGTTCACCTCTGCCTCCTCCCTCCCTGCACACTCTGTTCAACTATTTCACCTTTCCCTGGCGATTACGCATCGTAATAGTGTTCACCTCTGCCTCCCTCCCTCACACTGCAAGACACTGTTCATCTATTTCACCTTTTTAGCAGCATCTAGTGTTCACTTGCTCTCCTTCCTCACACTGCAAGGCACTGTTGGCGATTACCTTTTCTAGCAGCATCATCGTAATAGTGTTTCTCTGCCTCCCCTCCCTCACACTGCAAGACACTGTTCATCTGTTTCACCTTTTCTAGCAGCAGTGTCGATTACGCATCGTAATAGTATTCACCTCTGCCTCCCTCCCACTCCACTCCACTGTTCATGAGATTACGCATTTCACCTTTTCTCACACTGCAAGGCACTGTCTAACTATTTACGCATATGATTACGCATCGTAATAGTATTTCACCTCTGCCTCCCTCCCCACACTGCAAGGCTGTTCATCTATTTCACCTTTCTAGCAGCAGTGGGGATTACGCATCATGTTTCACCTCTGCCTCCCTCCCTCACACTGCAAGACACTGTTCATCCATTTCACCTTTCTAGCAGCAGTGGAGATCGCGCATCATAACAGTGTTCACCTCTGCCTCCCTCCCTCACACTGCAAGGCACTGTTCATCTATTTCACCTTTTCTAGCAGCAGTGGAGATTACGCATCAGCCAATAGTGTTCCTCTGCCTCCCTCCCTCACACTGCAAGGCACTGTTCATCTATTTCACCTTTTCTGCAGCAGTGGGGATTACGCATCATAATAGTGTTCACCTCTGCCTCCCTCCCTCACACTGCAAGGCACTGTTCATCTATTTCACCTTTTCTAGCAGCAGTGGAGATTACGCATCGTAATAGTGTTCACCTCTGCCTCCCCTCCTCACACTGCAAGGCACTGTTCATCTATTTCACCTTTTCTAGCAGCAGTGGAGATCACGCATCATAATAGTGTTCACCTCTGCCTCCCTCCCCCGTGCACCTGTTAGGCACTGTTCATCTATTTCACCCTTTTCTAGCAGTGGCGATTAAGCATCTTAATAGTGTTCCACCTCTCCTCCCTCCCTCACTGCAAGGCACTGTTCTATCTATTTCACCTTTTCTAGCAGCAGTGGAGATTACGCATCGTAATAGTGTTCACCTCTGCCTCCCTCTCTCCCTGCAAGACGCATTCATCCATTTCACCTTTTCTAGCAGCAGTGATTCATCGTAATAGTGTTCACCTCTGCCTCCCTTTTCTGCAAGGCACTGTTCATCCTATTTCACCTTTTCTAGCAGCAGTGGAGATCGCGCATCGTAATAGTGTTCACCTCTGCTCTCCCTCCCTCACACTGCAAGGCACTGTTCATCTATTTCTCCTTTCTAGCAGCAGTGGCGATCGCGCATCGTAATAGTGTTCACCCTGGCCTCCCTCAGACACTTTTATTCATTTCACCTTTTCCAGGTAAGACACTGTTCATCTATTTCACCTTTCCCTCAGCAGCACTGTTGTCGATTACGCATCGTGGAATACGCAGTAGTGTTCACCTCTGCCTCCCCCCCACACTGCAAGACACTGTTCATCTATTTCACCTTTTCTAGCAGCAGTGGTGATTACGCATCGTAATAGTGTTCACCTCTGCCTCCCTCCCTCACACTGCAAGTCACTGTTCATCTATTTCACCTTTTCTAGCAGCAGTGGAGATTACGCATCGTAATAGTGTTCACCTGCCTCCCTCCCTCACACTGCAAGGCACTGTTCATCTATTTCACCTTTTCTAGCAGCAGTGGCAGATTACGAGATAGTGTTCACTGCCTCCCCTCCCCACACTGCAAGACACTGTTCATCTATTTCACCTTTTCTAGCAGCACCAAATGCATAGTGTTCACCTCTGCCTCCCCTCCACACTGCAAGACACTGTTCATCTATTTCACCTTTTCTAGCAGCAGTGGAGATTACGCATCGTAATAGTGTTCACCTCTGCCTCCCTCCCTCACACTGCAAGGCACTGTTCATCTATTTCACCTTTTCTAGCAGCAGTGGAGATTACGCATCGTAATAGTGTTCCTCTGCCTCCCTCCCTCACACTGCAAGACACTGTTCAACTATTTCACCTTTTCTAGCAGCAGTGGAGATTACGCATCGTAATAGTGTTCACCTCTGCTTCCCTCCCCCCTCACACTGCAAGGCACTGTTCATCTGTTTCACCTTTTTCTAGCAGCAGTGGAGATTACGCATCGTAATAGTGTTCACCTCTGCCTCCCCCTCACACTGCAAGACACTGTTAATCCATTTCCCACCTTTTCTAGCAGCAGTGGCGATTACGCATCGTAAATACCCTCCTCCCTCCCTCACACTGCAAGCCTGTTCAACTATTTCACCTTTCCTCCCATCACACCGCCTCCTCCCTCACAAGGCACTGTTCGTCTATTTCACCTTTTCTAGCAGCAGTGGAGATCGCGCATACTAGTGGCGTTCAATTCTGCCTCCCTCGCTCACACTGCAAGGCACTGTTCAATCCATTTCACCTTTCTAGCAGCAGTGTCGATTACGCATCGCAACAGTGTTTACCTCTGCCTCCTCCCTCACACCGCAAGGCACTGTTCAACTATTTTCTCCTTTTCTAGCAGCAGTGGAGATTACGCATCGTAATAAGTGTTCACCTCTGCCTCCCTCCCTCACACTGCAAGGCACTGTTCATCTATTTCACCTTTTCAGAGAATAACTAAACAGTAACCTCTCCTCACACTGCAAGGCACTGTTCAACTATTTCACCTTTTTTTACAGCAGTGCAGAGATTACGCATCGTAATATGTATTCACCTCTAAACAGCAACCTCCCTCCCGCTCACACTGCAAGGCACTGTTCAACTATTTCACCTTTTAGACGCAGCAGTGGAGATCCTGAGGCATCGTAATAGTGTTCAACCATCTGCCTCCCTCCCTCATTTATCCTGCAAGGCACTGTTCAACTATTTACCTTTTTTAGCAGCAGTGGCGATTACGCATCATAATAGTGTTCACCTTCCTCCCTCACACAGAGAATAACATGTTCAACCATTTCAATTTTTTTAGCAGCAGCAGTGATTACGCAGTACGCATCTCCCTCCACACACTGCAGTATTACTGTTCAACTATTTCACTTTTTTGCAGCAGTCCCCTCCCATTTGACTCCTCACACTGCAAGGCACTGTTCAACTATTTCATCTTTCTAGCAGCAGATTCAATATTAGTGTTTTTGCCTCCCCTCCTGCAAGACACTGCAAGGCACTGTTCATGGTATTTAGCACCTTTTTTGAGGCAGCGAATACCTTTCTATAAGATAAACACCTCTGCCTCCCCCTACAAGTAAGACGTTCATCTATTTATCTTTTTAGGCAGAGATTAACATAAGCACAGTAAACCTTGGATTTCCCTCACACTGCAAGGCACTGTTCAACTATTTCACCTTTTTAGAGCATAACATGCAAGATAAATCGTAAACCTTTTTCCCACCCCTCCCCCTCACACTGCAAGGCACTGTTCAACTATTTCCACCTTTTTAGCAGCAGCGATTACGCATCGTAATACAGCAAACCTCTGCCTCCCCCTCCCTCACACTGCAAGACACTGTTCAACTATTTCACCTTTTTTAGCAGCAGTGGCGATTACGCATCGTAATAGTGTTCACCTCTGCTCCCCCCTCCCCCCTCAAGGCAAGACTGTTCATCATTTCACCTTTTTAGCAGCAGTGGGGATTACGCAGAGTAAGAGTATTCGCCTCTGCCTCTCCTCCCCACACTGCAAGGCACTGTTCAACTATTTCACCCATCAGCAGTGGAGATTACGCATCATGTAGTGTTTATCCTCTGAGGCAGAGAGAATAACATGCAAGGCACTGTTCAATCATTTGACCTTTTTTAGCAGCAGTGGCGATTACGCATCGTAATAGTGTTTACCCTCTGCCTCCCTCCCCACACTGCAAGACAAACAGCAACTATTTGGACTTTCACCCCAGCATAAGTATTACGCATCGTAATAGTGTTCACCTCTCCTCCCCCCTCACACTGCAAGGCACTGTTCAACTATTTTCTTTTTTAGCAGCAGTGGAGATTACGCATCATGTAGTATTCACCTCTGCCTCCCTCCCTCAAACAGCAAGACACACTCAACTATTTCACATTTTTTTTAGCAGCAGTGGCGATTACGCATCGTAATAGTATTTATCCTCTAAACAGCAACCTCCCTCCCATCATCATGTAGTATTTACTGCAAGGCACTGTTCAACCATTTCTTCTAGCAGCAGAGATTACGCATCGTGTAGTGTTTTCCTCTGCCTCCCTCCTAACATAAGTGCAAACTATTTACCTTCCCATCAGCAGTAGACGCATGCATCGTAATAGTGTTCACCTCTGCCTCCCTCCCTCCCACTGCAAGACACTGCAACTCCATGTTTTTTTTCCAGTGGCGAGAGAATAAATTAGTAAACTCCTCCATTTGGACTCCCCACACCATAAGTAGACACAACATTCACCTTTTTATCCAGAGGCAGAGAGAATAACCTAAGATAAACATCAACCATCTGCCTCCCTCCCCTCACACATGTAGCAAGGCACTGTTCAACTCCCACCATTTCACATCTTTTCTAGCAGAGAATAACGCATCATAAACAGGAGCAAAGACACTGTTCATCATTTCCACCTTTTTATGAGTGGAGTAATCATAGTATAAACACAACCATTTGACCTCCCTCCCTCACACTGCAAGGCACTGTTCAACTATTTCACCTTTTTTAGCATCCAGTGGAATACAAGATAAACAGCAAACTATAGTGTTCACCTCTGCCTCCCTCCCCACACATAAGATAAAAGACACTGTTCATCTATTTCACCTTTTTAGCAGCAGTGGCAACCATTTGCACCATAAGTAGACGCATCATGGTATTTTACCCTCTGATAAACAGCAACCCTCCCTCACATGTAGTATTTACTGAGGCAAGGCACTGTTCAACTATTTCAGACACTTTTTTAGCAGCAGTGGAATAAATACAGATAATGTTCAACCATTTGACTCCTCCCCACACATATAAAGGCACTGTTCATCATGTAGTATTTATTCTCGAGGCAGAGAATAACATATCGTAATAGTGTTCAACCATTTGACTCCCCCCTCACACTGCAAAGACACTGTTCATGTAGTATTTATCCACTGGAGGCAGTGGAATATAAGCTTAAACAGTAAAGTATTTTATGCCCCACTATCAAGTAGACACATGTTGTACTATTTCACCTGAGGCAGAGAATAACATAAGATAAACAGCAACCATTTGACACTCCCACTATAAGTAGACACAAATCATGTTAAACTATTTCACCTTTTCTAGCAGCAGAGAATAAATTAAGCATAAACAGCAACCTCTGCCTCCCTCTAATTATAAGTAGACGCTGTTCCTTCTTAGTATTTTTCCTTGAGCAGCAGTGGAATAACATAAGATAAACAGCAACTCATTTCCCTCCCTCATCTGCGGCAGACTGTTCATCTATTTATCTTTTGGAGGCAGAGAATTAAGCATAAAACAGCAACCATTGCTTCCCTCCCCCATCATAAGTAGATTCATCCATTTCACCTTTTTCTTGAGGCAGAGAATACGCATCAAGATAAAATACAACCTGCTTTCCCTCACCTCCCCATCTTTCTAAGTAGACGCATCATGTAGTATTTATCCTCTGAGGCAGAGAATAAATATAAGATAAACTGTTCATCCATTTGACCTTACTATAAAGTAGACGCATCATGTAGTATTTATCCTCTGAGGCCCTCCCTAACATAAGATAAACTGCAACCTTCTTGACCTTTTCTAGCAAGGGAAGACACATCATGTAGTATTTTATTTATCCTTGAGGCAGAGAATAAATATAAGATAAACAGTATTTGACACCTCTGCCACCATAAGTAGACGCACTGTTCATGTATTATTTATTCTTGAGGGCAGAGAATATATCGTAAAGTGTTCACCATTCTGACACTCCCACCATAAGTAGACGCATGTTCATCTATTTACCCCTTGAGGCAGCAGCATAAGATACGCATCAACCATTTGACTCTGCTTCCCTAAGTAGACGCAGGCACTGTTCATCCCATTTACCCGAGGCAGAGAATAACATAAGATAAACAGCAACCATCTGCCTCCCTCCCCTCACACTACCAGACGCTGTTCATCTGTTATTTATCCGAGGCAGAGAACAACATAAGATAAACAGCAACCATTTCCCCCTCCCCACTATAAGTAGACGCAACTATTTAGTATTTATCAGCAGTGGCAGAATATAGTGTTAAAATCTAAACCATTTGACCTCCTCACACAAGTAGACGCATGTTTAGTATTTATCCTTGGAGGCAGAGAGTGGATAAGATAAACGTAAAAGTATTTGACCCCTCCCAATTATAAGTATCCCGCCCATGTAGTATTTATCCTTGGAGGCACTGAATAAATACAAGACTTTCAACCTTTTCCGACAGTGCACCGATTAGACGCTTCATGTATTTATCCTCTGAGGCAGAGAATAACATAAGATAAACAGCAACCATTTCACCCCACAACAGTAGAGACACACATCATGTAGTATTTACCTCCTTGAGGCCCCTCAACATAAGATAAAGAGCAACCATTTGTTCATCCTATTTCAGAGACCTCATGTGTATTTATCCTGAGGCAGTGGAACAACAACGCATCACAAACAGCAAACCTCTGCCTCCCTCCCCTCACAGGGGGCAGACACTGTTCATCTATTTATCCTTCTAGGCAGAGAATAACATAAGATAATAGTGTTCAAACCATTTGGACCCTCCCTACAGGCAAGACACTGTTCATGTAGTATTTATCCTTGAGGCAGTGGAATAACATAAGATAAACAGCAACTATTTCTCTGCCTAATTATAACTGTAGACATGTTCATCTATTTGTCCTTGAGGCAGAGAATAACATAAGATAAACAGCAACCATTTGCCTCCCCCCCATAAGTAGGCACTGTTCATCTGTATTTATCTTTTGAGGCAGAGAATAAATTAAGATAAACAGCAAACCTCTGCCTCCCCACCATAAGTAGAGGCACATGTAGTATTTATCCCTGAGGCAGAGAATTTAAACAGCAAACTATTTGGAATTACACGCATCGTAGTATTTATCCTGAGGCAGAGAATATAAGATAACAGCAACCATCTGCACTCCCACCATAAGTAGACACATGTAGTATTTATCTTGAGGCAGAGAATATAAGTTAAACTAGCAACCTTTTTCTAGCAACAGTGGAATTACGCATCATGTAGTAGTGTTCAAGACCTCAGATAAACCTTGAACCCTGCAACTCCCACTGTTCAGCAGACTGCACCTTTTCTAGCCTTGAGGCAGAGAATAACATAAGATAAACCTCTGCCATTTGACACCATCACACTGCAAGTAGACACTCATGTAGTATTTATCCTGAGGCAGAGAATAACATAAGATAATCGTAATACCATTTGACCTCTGCTTCCATAAGTAGACGCATCATGTTCGCATTTATCTTTTCTGGCAGAGAATAAATATAAGATAAACAGCAAACCATTTGACTCCTCCTACCATAAGTAGTTCATCTGTTTCACCTTTCCTTGCGCAGAGATTAACATAAGATAAATTTCACCTCTGCTTCCCTCCCTCAAGTAGACGCACTACTGTTCATCTATTTCTGAGGCAGAGAATTACGCATCGCACAGTGTTCACCTCTGCCTCCCTCCTCCCTCACACTGCAAGGCACTGTCCATCTATTTCACCTTTTCTAGCAGCAGTGGAGATTACGCATCAGTGTTCATCTCAGTGTTCACACTGCAAGACACTGTCCTATTTCCCTTTTCTAGCAGCACGATTACGCCTGTAAAGTTCACTGTTCATCTTGGCACTGTTCAACTATTTCACCTTTCTAGCAGCAGTGGAGATTACGCATCGTAATAGTGTTCACCCTTGCCTCTCTCCCCTCACACTGCAAGACACTGCTCCATTCATTATTTCACTTTTCTAGCAGCAGTGGAGATTACGCTTCGTAATAGTGTTCACCTCTGCCTCCTCCATCACACTGCAAGACACTGTTCATCTTGTTATTTCACCTTTTCTAGCAGCAGTGGAGATCATGCATCGCAATAGTGTTCACCTCTGCTTCCCTCCCCTCACACTGCAAGGCACTGTTCATCTATTTCACCTTTTTCTAGCAGCAGTGGAGATCGCATCGTAATAGTGTTCTACCTCCTGCCTCCCCTCCCCACACACTGCAAGGCACTGTTCATCTTCCAGCTTTTCAGCAGCAGGAGAGATTACGCATCGCAATAGTGTTCACCTCTGCCTCCCTCACACTGCAACACTGCAACTATTTCACCTTTTTAGCAGTGGAGTTCGAATCTATTTCACTGCCTCCTTCCCCTCACACTGCAAGACACTGTGAGGACAGCATCGATTACGCATAGGTTCCACCTCTGCCTCCCCTCCTCACACTGCAAGACACTGTTCATTCATTTCACCTTTCTATAAGTAGGTACATCATGTAGTATTTCACCTCTGCCTCCCTTTGACTGCAAGAGACTGTTAACATTTAAGATAAACAGCAAGCATTTGACACTCATCGTATTATAGTAGACGCATCTGTAGTATTTATCCTACAAGGCACTGTTCAACTATTTCACCTTTTTCTAAACAGCAACGCATTTAATACCCCTCCCTCCATCACACTGTAGACGCATCATGTAGTATTTATCCTTGAGGCAGCAGAATAACATAAGCTTCCTCCTAAACTGCAAGGCACTGTTCATCTATTTACCTTAATTAGCACCATGGCGATTACGCATCGTAATAGTATTTATCCTCTGAGGCAGAGAATAACATAAGATAAACAGTTCATCCATTTGACCCCCCACCATAAGTAGACGCATCATATTATTTCACCTCTGCTTCCCTCCCCTCACACAGAGAACTGTTATCTATTTCAAGATAAAACAGCAACATCGTATTTGATTCACCTCCCTCCCCTCCCTTCACACTGCAAGGCACTGTTCATCTATTTCACTTTTCTAGCAGCAGTGGAGATTACGCATCGTAACAGAGTTCACCTCTGCCTCCCTCCCCTCACACTGCAAGACACTGTTCATCTATTTCACCTTTCTAGCAGCAGTGAGACGCACACTGTAACAGAGTGTTTCACTCTGCCTCCTCTCTCCTCACACTGCAAGGCACTGTTCATCCATTTCACTTTTCTAGCAGCAGTGGAGATTACGCATCGCAACAGTGTTCACCTCTGCCTCCTCCTCACACTGCAAGGCACTGTTCATCTATTCTACCTTTTCTAGCAGCAGTGGAGATTACGTATCGGCCAGTGTTCACTTGCCTCCCCCTCCTCACACTGCAAGGCACTGCTCCATTCATTTCACCTTTCTAGCAGCAGTGAGTCTGCGCATCGTAATAGTGTTCACCTCTGCTTCCCCTCCCTCACACTGCAAGACACTGTCTATCTATTTCAATTTTCTAGCAGCAGTGGAGATCGCGCATCGTAACAGTGTTCACCTCTGCTCTCCCTCACACTGCAAGGCACTGTTCATCTATTTCATCTTTTCAGCAGCAGCGGAGATCGCGCATCGCAGCCAGTGTTCACCCCTGCCTCTCTCCCTCAGCACTGCAAGGCACTGTTCATCTATTTCACCTTTTCTAGAGGCAGAGAATACGCATCATACAAGATTACCTCCTCCCTCCCAACCATTTGGATCTATTTCACCACCATAAGTAGACGCATCGCCATGTATTTATCCTGAGGCAGAGAATAACATAAGATAAACAGTTCAAACCATTTGACTTTTCCCACCATGGAATAGACGCATCATGTATTATTTATCCCTCACACTGAGGCAGTCTATTTCAACTTAAGATAAACAAAGCAACGCATTTGGACTGCCTCCCTCCCCTCACACTGCAGACTGTTCATCATTTACCTTTTATCCTGAGGCAGAGAATAACGCATCATGTGTGCAAACCATCTGCTTCCCTCCCCACCATAAGTAGACGAGACTGTTCATCTATTTATCCTGAGGCAGAGAATAACATAAGACTCCTAAACAGCAACCACTTTGATCTATTTCCCTTTCTATAAGTAGACGCATCATGTAGTATTTATCCTGGAGGCAGAGAGACCTTTTCTAAGATAAACAGCAACCATTTGACTCTGCCTCACTATAAGTGCAGACACTGTTCATCTGTTTCACCTTTTCCTGAGGCAGAGAATACGCATCAAGTGTGTTCACAACCATTTCCTCCTCCCACTATAAGGCACTGTTCATCTATTTCACCTTTTTCTTGAGGCAGAGCATATAAGATAAACACCAAACCTCCCTCCACTCCCACCATAAGCACTGATTCATCATTTTCACCTTTTCTATCAGCGTGGTAAGAGAATAACATAAGACAAACTGCCTCCATCCCCTGACACCTTTTTCACCATGGGCAGACGCATCATGGGTGTTCTCTGCCTCCCTCCCTGAGGCAGAGTTCATCTATTTCACCTTTTCTAAGAGTAAACAGCACCCATCTTCCTCCCCTCCCCTCACACTAAGTAGACGCATCATGTAGTTTTTCATCCTTGAGGCAGAGAATAACATAGCCTCCCTCCCTAAACAGCAACCATTTGACTATTTCACCCACTATAAGTAGACACACATCGTAGTGTTACCTATTTATCCACTGCAAGGCACTGATCTATTAAACATAAGACAAAGCAGTGCAACCATCGTAATAGTGACCTCTCCCACTATAAGTAGCACTGTTCATCATGTACCTTTTTATCCTGAGGCAGAGTGTTAAATATCCCCTAAACAGCAACCATTTACTTCTCTCCCCACCATAAGTAGACGCATCATGTAGTATTTATCCTTAGAGGCAGAGACTGTTCATCTATTTAAGATAAACAGCAAACCATTTGACTCTGCCCCCTCCCTCAGACACATCATGTTCAGTATTTATCTTTGAGGCAGAGATTAACATAAGCATCAAACAGCAACCATTTGACCTCCTCTATAAGTAGACACATCTATTTAGTTTTTATCCTTGAGGCAGAGCATCATATAAGATCAAACTGCAACCATTTGATCTATTTCACCCATCATAAGTAGACGCATCATATGGCATTTATCCTCACACACAAGGCACTGTTCAGAATTTCCTCTTTTTTCTGGCAGCAGTGGCGATTACGCATCGTGTGTATTCACCTCTGCCTCCCTCCCTCACCCCTGCAAGGCACCTTTCTAGCAGCAGTGGAATTACGCATCATGTGTGATGTTCACACTGCCTCCCCTCCCTCACACTGCAAGAGCACTGTTCAACTGTCTCCCCCTTTTCAGCAGCAGTGGAGATTACGCATCATGTAGTATTTACCTCTGCCCTCCCTCACACTGCAAAGGCACTGTTTAATCTATTTCACCCCTTTTTTCTAGCAGCAGTGGCGATTACGCATCATGTGTATTCACCTCTGCCTCCCTCCCTCACACTGCAAAGGCACTGTTCTCTATTTCACCTTTTTCTAGCAGCAGTGGCGATTACGCATCGTAATAGTACACCTCTGCTGCCTCCCCTCCCTCACTGCAAAGGCACTGTTCAGCTTATTTCTGCCTTTTCCCTACAGCAGCAGTGGCGATTACACATGTCTCATCCCCTCCCTCCCTCACCGAGGCACTGTTCATCTATTTCACCTTTTCTAGCAGTGGCGGTGCGCATCGTAATGAAGTATTCACCATCTGCCTCCCCTCCCCTCCACCCCCACCCTGCAGGCACTGTTCATCTGTTCACACTTCCTAGCAGTGGCAGTGTAATGATAATTCACCTCCTCCCTCCCTCACACTGCAAGGCACTGTTCGCATCTATTTCACCTTTTCTAGCAGCAGTGGCAGAATTACGCATCATGTAATAGTATTCACCTCTGCCTCCCCTCCCTCACACTGCAAGTCACTGTTCACATCTATTTCACCCCTTTCTATCAGCAGTAGACGCATCATGGTATTTACCTCTGCTTCCTCCCTCACACTAAAGATAAACTGTTCATCTATTTCACCTTTCCAGCAGCAGTGGCGACGCATCATGTAGTATTTCACACTCTGCCTCCCTCCCTCAGGGTCACTGTTCATCTATTTAACATTTTCTAGCAAACAACATCATTTGTTCACCTACTTCCTCATAAGCAAGGCACGCATCATGTAATTTATTTTTTCTTAAGCCGGAAGATAACATCATGTAAATTTCACCTCTGCCTCCCTCCCATCATAGTACTGACGCATCATATACCTTTTTATCAGTGGGTACGCAGAATAACATAAGATACACTGCAAACCACTGTTCATCTATTCACCATAAGCAGCAGAACGCATCATATAGTATTTAGCCAACCAGGCGAAGATAACATAAGATAAACAGCAACCATTTGACACTCCGGCATCATAAGTAGACGCGTCGCATGTAGTATTTATCCTTGAGGCAAATAACATAAGATAAACAGCAACCATTTCAGCCTCCCATCATAATGAACGCATCATGTAGTGTTATCAGCAGAGGCAGAGAATAACATAAAGATAAACAGCAACCATTTAACTCCATCATAAGTAGACGCATCATAGTATTTATCATAAGGCGAAATAACATAAGATAAACAGCAACCATTTATTTCCATCTTAGAGTAGACGCATCTGCAAGTAATGACTATCAGCAGGGCGAGAATAACATAAAGATAAACAGCAACCATTGACACACCACCATAAGTAGACGCATCATGTAGTATTTATCCTTAAGGGCGAAGAGAATAGCATAAGATAAACAGCAACCATTTAGCACTCATCATAAGTAGACGCATCATGTAGTATTTATCCTTGAGGCAGAGAATAACATAAGATAAACAGCAACCATTTGACACTCCCACTATAAGTAGACGCATCATGTAGTATTTATCCTTGAGGCAGAGAATAACATAAGATAAACAACCATTTGACACTCCCACCATAAGTAGACGCATCATGTAGTATTTATCCTTGAGGCAGAGAATAACATAAGATAAACAGCAACCATTTTGGCCACTCCCACCATAAGTAGACGCATCATGTAGTATTTATCCTTGAGGCAGAGAATAACATAAGATAAACAGCAACCATTTGACACTCCCATCATAAGTAGACGCATCATGTAGTATTTATCCTTGAGGCAGAGAATAACATAAGATAAACAGCAACCATTTGACACTCCCACCATAAGTAGACGCATCATGTGACACTCCCACCCATAGACGCATCATGTAGTATTTATCCATAAGTGAGGTAGTATTTATCCTTGAGAATAACATAAGATAAACAGCAACCATTTGACACTCCCCATCATAAGTAGACGCATCATGTAGTATTTATCCTTGAGGCAGAGAATAACATAAGATAAACAGCAACCATTTGACACTCCCATCATAAGTAGACGCATCATGTAGTATTTATCCTTGAGGAGGCATAAGATAAACAGCAACCATTTGAAGATAAATCATAAGTAGACATCATGTAGTATTTATCCTTGAGGCAGAGAGAATAACATAAGATAAACAGCAACCATTTGGCCACTCCCACTATAAGTAGACGCATCATGTAGTATTTATCCTTGAGGCAGAGAATAACATAAGATAAACAGCAACCATTTGACACTCCCATCATAAGTAGACGCATCATGTAGTATTTATCCTTGAGGCAGAGAATAACATAAGATAAACAGCAACCATTTGACACATCATAAGTAGACGCATCATGTAGTATTTATCCTTGAGGCAGAGAATAACATAAGATAAACAGCAACCATTTGACACTCCCACCATAAGTAGACGCATCATGTAGTATTTATCCTTGAGGCAGAGAATAACATAAGATAAACAGCAACCATTTGACACTCCCATCATAAGTAGACGCATCATGTAGTATTTATCCTTGAGGGAGAGAGAATAACATAAGATAAACAGCAACCATTTGACACTCCATCATAAGTAGACGCATCATGTAGTATTTATCCTTGAGGCAGAGAATAACATAAGATAAACAGCAACCATTTGACACCCCATCATAAGTAGACGCATCATGTAGTATTTATCCTTGAGGCAGAGAATAACATAAGATAAACAGCAACCATTTGACACTCCCACCATAAGTAGACGCATCATGTAGTATTTATCCTTGAGGCAGAGAATAACATAAGATAAACAGCAACCATTTTAGACGCATCATAATGTAGTATTTATCCTTGAGGCAGAGAATAACATAAGATAAACAAACCATTTGACCTCCCAACCATGTAGTATTTATTTGAATAACATAAGATAAACCAACCATTTGACACTCCCATCATAAGTAGACGCATCATGTAGTATTTATCCTTGAGGCAGAGAATAACATAAGATAAACAGCAACCATTTGACACTCCCACTATAAGTAGACGCATCATGTAGTATTTATCCTTGAGGCAGAGAATAACATAAGATAAACAGCAACCATTTGACACTCCCACCATAAGTAGACGCATCATGTAGTATTTATCCTTGAGGCAGAGAATAACATAAGATAAACAGCAACCATTTGACACTCCCACCATAAGTATTTAGACGCATCATGTAGCAACCATTTATCCATTGAGTATTTATCCTTGAGGCAGAGAATAACATAAGATAAACAGCAACCATTTGACACTCCCATCATAAGTAGACGCATCATGTAGTATTTATCCTT